AAGATAATATGTGGGTGCTGTTTTTGTATTTTAAAGACCACATGGTGTTACTGTTATTATTGCCGTTGGGTCAATCCCAACTCGTGATGACCTCTACATGCAGGGTGGATCTGCCCTGTAGGGTTCGCGAGGCTGTGACCTTTCAGGAGAAGATCACAGGCCTGTCTTCTGAGGTGCCTCTAGGGGGGTTTTGAACTGTTGACCCTTCAGTGAGTCATCAAATGCTTTACCACTATCCCACCTGGGCCTACTAAATGACACTGGTGAAAATCGGGTGGTTAGGACAGAGCCAACATCGTATGTAGTCTTGGAAATATTCTTGGAACTATGTAGAAAGTCAAGCCATGTTAAGTCTGCAAAATGAGAAACTGAGGCAGGTAAAGTTTCAGTCAGTTCGTGAACATTCCCTGATTGTTGGGGCTGTGGGGGAGTGGGTGTTGACCATTCCCTAATTGCTGGGGGTGGTGGGGGAATGGGTGCAGAACTACGACCTGTGATCGTGTGTTGTTCAGATCTCACCGTTAGACCTTGTGCTTTCTTATCTTCATCAAGGCTCGGGAACAAGGATTCACAGAATCGTTTTATGAAAAGACACACTGTGCATTTGGATAAATGCATCCATTATGCCGCAATGAGGCAAGACACACACTGTGCTTTGTGCCACCACCAGCAAAGCAAATAAAGCACATTTCTGCTGCTTGCAGTGTGAAGGTGATTCTGATGAAGGTCCAAGCATGGTTCGTCATCAAGAGGCTCAGAGTTAGTGCCCCCTTAATAGTGAATGCTGCCAGAGGACAGAGCAAGATGACCTTATGGATGACGCCAAGCCACTCCATGCTCAGTGCATTAACACGTGGGTCTGGAGCAGCTTATGTTCTGTTTCGCAAATGCACTCTCTATACTACTTCTTTCAGAATAATCTTTTGTGTCAAGCTGTAGTCTGGCCTCCTCAACTCGTCCTTTCCTCCCACCCCAAGATCTAATGCATCAGAATCCTGGTGAGTGAGACATACAGACGTGTCAACATTTTAAACTCGGTCTTAAGGAAGGTTGAGACCCATGAGAGATTTCTAGAGGCTAAGCCTGTTGAAAGATTTGTTTATAGTTCTGACTTTTCTTCTGCCAGGGGGCAGTGTTCTCTGAAATATGGTTGCATTAATAAGCTTTGAAGGCAGGAGGAGTTTTTCAGTCTCTCATCCAATTTCTTGTTTACTGATCCAACCCCGTGGGAGATACATATATATCTATATATATAACAATCACTTCTTATGCATCAGAAAGTTGGACAATGACCAAGGAGGGTAGAAGGAGAATTGATGCCTTTGAGCTGTGGTGCTGGAGAAGAGTATTGAGAATACCATGGACTGCTAGGAAAACAAACTGATTCATCCTGGAAAGGGTTAAACCGGGTGGCTCCTTGGAGGCAAGGATTCTGAGGCTCCGTCTAACATACTTTGGACATGTTGTAAGGAGAGACCGGTCCTTGGAGAAGGACATCATGCTTGGGAGGGTGGAGGGACAGCGCAGGAGGGGAAGGTCCTCTATGCGGTGGATTGATTCAGTGACTGGGATAATTGGGATGGGAGTGTCAGAAAGTGCGATTGGCACAGGACAGAGCAGAGTTTAGGGCTGTTGTACATAGGGTCGCTATGAATCACAAGTGACTCGACGGCACATAACAACAACAACAATATAGATACATATAAATCTTAAACACCGTAGCAGGTGAACTTTCTTTTTCATTTTTGATTTGATAAAGCAAATTCCTTTTCATTCAACCATTCATACACTCTGTGTTCTAGAATGTCAATCTTCAATTATCAAAATGTAATTAGGGAGCTCTAGTGGCCTAGTGGTGGGGAGCTGAGCTGACAGCACAGGATTCCAATCCAGCAGCTGCTCCACGGAGGACCAGTAGGCAGCCGCCTCCAGTGCCCTTCCCTGCCACTGTAAGCTCACTAAAGGCTCAATTATGACCTGGTCCTGACTTGATGGAACACAACAACAAAACGTAGTGACACGTCCTCCACTCCTCTGCTCATCCTCCCTACACTCCTAATTTCTATTAATCCTTCTTTTTTTCATTTTATTTTACTATTTTTAATGAACATTTACAGAGATTTTGGGCTTCCATTCATTCTCTATTAATCCTTCTATACCTCTTTGTGTCTGCAGGTGAACTTTCTTGTTGGATTTTTTTTTAAGTATTTTTGACCATATTCTAGTCAATCTATCTCTTACTGTGGTACAAAATACACAAAACAAAACATTCACCATTTCAACATTTTCTATATGTAGAATTCAGTGGCTATGACGTACACTTGGTGCTATTTCTGTCATTTTGCCTACTTTTTGCATCCTCGAGATTTCTGTAGTTCTAGATGTTTCTGTTACTGCCGCGGACCTCTGAGTTGATTCTGTCTCATGGTGGCCATCTGTGGCAGAGGCAGTTTTTTTCAGCTGTAATATTTACAGGAGCAGATAGTGGTTTTTCCCTGCTGGTGGGTTTGAACTGCTAATCTTTCCATTACCAGTGAAGTGCTCAGCCACTGTTCTGCCGTGCTCCAGCTATCAGCTCTGGATAGTTTGGGGTACCTGTGGGTGGTTCATGTTTACCACCTGCTTGGCCGTGAAAAAGGTGGACAGCATCCTTTCGTGAATGAACACTGCCAACCTCAGAAACTGGATGGAGGATGTCACGCGTCAGGGTCAATTTGATAGCATTGGGCCTGGCTTTGCCGTGTGGTGTTTTGTGGTTGATTTGGTGCCTGAGTTAAATAAAGACTTTTGTCAACCTCTTTGACAGTTAATTGATGATATTTTGTAGTAATATTTTGTTTAAGCTTGACTCTGCTTAGATGGCGTGTGTGTGTGTGTGTGTGTGTGTGTGTGTGTGTGTGTGAATGAGTTCCTGATTCATAATGATCTGGTAGGAGATAAGGGTCTTTGGCAGGAAAGTTAAGAGAAACTGCAAGTTAACCCTGAGGTAATGGGTAACAAGCCCTGTACTATCATTATGGGTTAGCTTTGTTCTTCAGTTTAAATATTCTCTCCACCACATAGCTAGGTGATGGTCAGCTTCTGAGCCACAGATTTTTTCAAAAGAAGACTTCATTGTCCTCAAGCTGGATATCTACAGCCAAATATAAACAAAATTGATAAACTGTTGGGCTCTTTGGTAGGGGTTGGGAGTTTGCGGGAAAGGGATGGCTGGTTTTCTAGAACACTTTGGGCACTGAGGTGTGAAGTGACATCAGAAAGCCACCTTGACATTGTCCTTTTTAGTTTATATTTCACACTTCCTTTCCCTAACAATAGGCTTACATCTTGAAATGCAACATAAGTCACAGTAAAGTCTTCCACAGTCTAAACATCTTTTCTAAGCCTTGCTAACACACCCAACTGCAAATCATTTCAGTATGGCATATAGACTAAAACAGACTTCTGTTTCAGGGGCAAAAAACAAAATATCCCTGAGCTGGCCTTGTCTGCAAGAGTGGAAGAGTAAGAGGATTTCAGGAAAGTCACTTGAAATTTGACAGTGTATTTTTTTTTCTTCAAATAGCTGTACCAAATTCTAGAATATGGAATGAAAGCCAGGCCTACTGTGTAATCCACTATAAACAAGTCTTGGCTTTGTGCTGTGGTGTTTTGCCTGAGCAGGCAGTGCTCTGCTGGTGTTGCCTCACATGCTAAATCCTCTGTTTACAGCACACACACACACACACACACACACACACACACACACTTTGCTGGTGTTGCCTCCCATGCTAAATCCTCTGTTTGCAGCGCGCGCGCGCGCACACACACACACACACACACACACACACACACACACGCGTGCGCGCCCTGGGAGGATGATGGCCACCGGGCTAGGTGAGGGAAATACCACGAACAAACCTTCTCCCCTCAGCCAAATCTTAACAGCAAACAGCAATGAAACAACTTTCCGATTTCCAGGTCTTGAGTTCTCCTGAAAGTGTCAGAGTTGGCCAGATGCTTATTGAAGAGGCTCTTACAACACGCAGCGCCTCAGAGGACAGGGGTTTCGTGGTTAGATGATAATTTAATTGGGGAATGGCTAGGAAAACCGTTGTTTGCATCGAATCTCTCACAGTCATAGGGAGATGCTTCCTAAATTCAATTGCTAATAGCTTTTGCTTTTTTCTGCCCTCATTCAAGGGACTCCCCTACCCCCTCAAACCCTGGCAGAAACTGAAGTTGTTTGTCCTTCCTCACTAGGCAGAAGGACAGGATGCTGCTTCGCTGGCTTTCCCAGTAATTCGATACAAGTCACTTCTCTAAACTCTAACAAGGATGTGGGGGGTGGGGAGGGGGGGGAAACTGCTATCATTCCTGTGAGTTACAATCTCAGGAGATTTCGTCGTGGCAAAGATTTGAGGAGTCAGGAGCTGAGAGTGTGGCGAGAGAGGCAGGGTCGTGGAAAGGGCTAGAAAAAAAAAAGCACAACACACAAAACAGAAAGCTGTTGGGTTCATGAATTAAAAAGCTTTCCTGGTTGAAACAAATAAACAAACAAAAGCTAGGAGCTCGACTGCGCTGAACAACTTGCTACATTGTAAACCTTTAGACGTTTAAAGCTGCCCCAGCTCCTTGCACAGCTCTGGTTGTGGGCGGGTAGCAGACATTTGGTTTCTTTTTAGAAACCCCCTTTCTGTGTGTGAGGGAAGGGAAATGGGCGTGCACTGGCGTTGGCCGCAGGAACACAAGACAGCCTCACGTTGCCAGCGGAAACCACATCAAAGTGGCCCTGTGCTGGGGGCGGGCCGTCCAGGGGGTGGGGAGAGGATGCAGCCTCCGCAGCTCCGAGCTGCGATTGGTACCCAGGCCGTGATGCAATCCAGCCCGGGGCCAATCGGCGGAGACTGTCAACCTCCCAGGTGGGATTGGAGTTAAGAGTCTGAACTCCGAGCCGCAGAGAAGCGCTTTCAGTGCGAGGAGGGACACGCTGCGAGCAGCTTTCCAAGAATCCTCCAAAGATGGCCAGGGCCAACACTTTCCAGTCGCATCAGGTAGGAGGACGATGGAAATGCTTGACCATTCCGATCGCTTTTCTTAATGCTTTTTTCCATGTCTACATTTTAAATTCGGATTGCACTTTATGATGCATTTTGGAAGTTGCAGGACTGGGTGATGGTGTTTAAGTCATTCTGAATGGCTTTCGTCGTCTAAGTACCTAGTACTAACAGTGTTTAACCTAAATAAAATTATGTGAAGGCCATCCATCTGACTTTAACACGACCACCTAAATCCCACAACTTCAAAATGCAGCACAAGGTGCTGTCTTAATTTTTAAAAAGCAATCAAATTCATGAGGAAGCTCTACCGGCCAGTTCTACTGTCACATGGAGTAGCTGAGAGCTGAAGTCGACCTGCAGACCCCTAACAGCAGCAGTTTTATGTCACAACTTGATCTCTTTCTTCTCTTAGGTCATATCCCTGTTCACTTTTGCCGTCGGAGTCAATATCTGCCTGGGACACACAATAAACAGAGTCAAGAGAGCAGAAGGCTGGGATGAAGGGCCTCCTTCAGGTAGGCGTGACGATAGCTTCTGTTTCAACTACTGTCAAATCACGTACATGGAGAAGCAATATAGATATTGTTAAGCAGTCCCTCTCTAAGGTAATGTTGCAGCATCCATTCATTCAGTCATTTTCTGGAATAAAAAGGGTTATGTGGATAATTCAAGTGAGAGAAGGGGGTTTTCCTTAAAGAATATTTAGGATCGCTTCCTGATAACTGGTTACGGTAAGTTTTTGGACTCTGATATTGATACATGTTTGTTGTTGTTATTATTGTGCACTGCCGAGGCTGAACTGACCCATAGCTGACCCTCCAGTGAGTTTTCAGAGGCAGTAAATTGGATGGGAGGAGTTTTCCCCATCTGTCTCTTGCAGAACAGCTGGTGTATTCAAACCATGTACCTTTGTGTAGTCAATGCAATTCCTTAAAACTCTCTCTAGTTAATAGACCGCTAATAGGCAACTGCCTCCTGTGTGATTAACTGCCTCCTGTGTGATTAACTGCCTCTGAAAACCCACTGGAGGGTCAGCTATGGGTAGGGTACACAAGGACAACAATGTTAAAATAGAAGTGATGAGAATAGCATTGGTTTACTACTGGTGATACATGAGTCTGTGATACATGTACTGGTGATACATTGTTGCCTTGCAATGGGATGTAATATTTGCCAGGAGAAAGCTCTGGCCTGGGAAAAAGGTAGTGCTGTATTTATGACACTTAGGAAGACTAAGATTGACTCATAACAGGACAAATGTTGAAGTAGAGATGAGTCCTTATAACATTGCTTTTCTGTTGGTGTAAGGTAAGTTACCTTGACAGGAGGAATAGAACTCAAACGAATGATTTTCCTTTGACGTACAATACTCTGCTGCACACAGTGTGGGGATGCCTGTGAAGGGGCCCCTTGTGAGCGGAGAGGGCTCAGTTGACCAACTCTTAAGTAGTGAGTTGGTTAATTTCCTGGAAATTGGAGCTGCCGAGGGTTTTATGAATAAAAATTGCACTTTAAGTAATGAGTTCTCTAGGGGGCAATATTTTCTTGACTTTGCTGGTCATCCCAGCATGTTTGCTCACCTCCCTGTGAATTTCGTGTTTCCCTCTAGTGCTTGAGAGACCGTCTCCCTGTTAGGATTAACCAAGTTAGGATACACTCCTGAGAGGGTACTAAGTCTTCCTTATATCAAGTGAGTTTTCTGAGTGGGTTGAAAGAATAACATTAGAGGTGGGTTAATGAGTCAGAGGGGGGGTGTGGTTGGGGTGCAGGGTGAGAAAACAGATCATAGACATTGCAGCCCCAGGCAGCCAGGTGGACAACATGAATTGTTTTCTTCTTTGTAAAGATAAAATTGTATTGTGTTTTAGGTGGACATTTGTACAGGCAGGTTAGGTTCTTCTCAATGATTTTTATATGCATTCTTCCATGCCATTTGTTACATTTTGGCAGTGTGTTAGCATTCTCATTGTGTGTGTTCTGTTTCCACTGATCTAACTTCCTTTCTCCCTTTCTCTTTGCTTTTGGGTTAATGTTGACTGTTTGATCTCATACAGTTAATTGTTTAAGGGAGCATATTATTTACCAGCAATGTAATCTATGTGTCAAATTGTTATTTAGCTGAGAGGTGACCTGCAGAAATAGCTTCAATTTCAAATTCAAACAGTATTTCAGGCCGTAGTCTTGGGAGCTTCTCTCCCCTCTCTCAGTGCAGTAGCTCTGGACCTTTTAGGAATGTGAGTTTTCAGCTATGTTTTCCTCCCCTCCAGGACCTTCTGTGATGTCCCCGCATAGAGTGACTGAGCTGTTCGCATGCACACTCTGGTTCTTCTGATCTCAGGCTCCTGGTCAGAGGCTGTGATGTGTGTGGGCTCCTAGTCCTGTGGACTCTTCATCTTGGATTCTTTGCTTTCCTTCATTCTCTTTTGCTCTCTAATGAGTGGGATCAAGAGTTGTATGTTAGATGGCTGTGTTGAGTTTTCAAGTCCCCTGATGTTCCTGACTGAAGGAGGGTGTAGAATACTGCCTTTGTGAACTAGGCTATGCCAATTGACTAAATTTTCACCTGAAATTATGGTCTCAAGGCTTTTAGCTGAGTTAACAATTCCTTTAAGTTATTTGTCTCGGAAGCTTCTACAACTGTGCCTCACCTCCCTACACTGTGTGTTTGTTATGCATGAGAAAATATACAGATGCAGAATCTTCTCATGTTTCTATGCATATTCCTCTAAATGCACTTGTACCTGCACGTGTGGTTAATTATATACTTTAGTGTACACATGCATGCATCCATATCTTCCTATGTAGCCAGACATTTTTCTTTTGCTCATTTTAACTGTTGTTTCTAAAGTTGTATGTTACATCTTCCAAAACTGTCCTCGTCTTCTGACCATCCTAAGTGTCTTTGTTTTTCCTTAGGAGCTCTGAAGACCTAGTTGATAGGGAAAAGGTGGCACCTCTCTAGTGGTTTTAAATTAATCTACTGGTAGTTCCACAGGAGAAAGTTGGAAGGATATCCTAACATGCATTTTGCAGCCTCTGAAAACCCTGGAGAATCAGCTATGAGTTAGTTCTGAATGGACAACAACAATGTGTTTTCTTTGACCAATTATGTTAATGTTTGAGATTGTCTTTTCCACCAATAGTTAAATGTCTATTATTTAGAAAGTAATTCCACCCCTCCCCCAGCCTTTGCAGCTAACAAAGAACTTTGTTTACTGTGTATATCTATTGTTTACTTTTTATAATACTCAAAACTCAGTGCCATTGATTAAAAATCGATGGTCTTCCAAGGAGGTTTTCAGAAGCTGTAAATCACAGGAAAGAGATTACTCCTTGTGCTCTTAGGGAGCATCTCGGTGCAGTCAGGCTGCCTGCCTCTGCATTGCCATTGCACCTCCCTACTTACTGTTCCAGCATAACTAAAGTTTTAGGGCAATTGTTGTTATGTGCTGTTGAGTTGGAACTGACTCACAGCTGACCTCCAGCAGGTTTTCAGAGGCAGAAAATGACATGGGATGAAGATTACCCATCCTTCTCCCATAGAGCATTTAGTACATCTAAACCATGCCTTTTGGATTGCAACACAGTTTCTTATCACTATAATACTTGGGGTTAGATTTTGTTGTTGTTGTTGTTTCTATTTTTTTTTTTTTACAGAGGTTTTGGATTTCCATTCATTCATTGCCACAATTTTCTCCCTGCCCACCCCTCCCCACCAGCTCGCTTCCCCCTCCGAAGAGAGAAAAAAAAAGAAAAAAATTCCTTCATTAGTATACAATTCCCATGTCCCTTCCCCCCACTCCCCACCCCGAGTACACTTCTCTATGCAACCTTAATTCTGGATCCCTGTGCTAACCATAATACTCAATCATATATCACTTCTAATCTGTTCTTTCCCTCATCTGTTTCAATACAATATACATAATTTATCCAGTTTTTTCTGTCATACCCCCACCCTGATGTCAGACCCATTCTACAAGAGTGGCACCATGCAGTATTTGTCCCTTTGTGACTGAGATATTTCACTCAGCATAATGTCCTCCAGGGTCACCCACTTTGAATAATATTGCATGAGTTCCTTGCTTTTCAACTCTGTGTAGTATTCCATTGTGTGGATATACCACAGCTTCTCCACAGCTTCTCTATCCATTTGTTTGTTGATGGGCCCTTATGCTGCTTCCAACTCTTTGCTATTGTAAACAAAGCTGCAATAAACATGGGTGTGCATATATCTGCTTGGATGGCAGACATGGTCTCTCTGGAGTGTTGTTTCTATTTTTATGTGTGTGTGTGTGTGTGTGTGTGTGTGTGTGTGAGAGAGAGAGAGAGAGAGAGAGATTGATCTCTTTGGGATTAACATGTGCTGTGAGAGTTTTTGTGGACTCTTCATGACTCTTTATAGTTGCATAGTTTTTGATTGTAGTTTTTATCATAGAATATCTGTTATCTTTTGCTGGACACTTGGTTTGTTCTCATCTTTTTGCTCTTATGACTAATGCAGCAGTGAATACAGGTGCACTGTGTGTGTCCATGTCTTTGCTCTTCTATCTCTAGAGGATATACCTATAGCTGGGGGTGGGATTGTTGGACCTCCTGGTAGCTCTAGCTTTTCGAGGAAGCCCCACACCATCACTATTTCCTTCAGTGGTTGTATCAAGTTATAACCTCACCACCAATGAATAATGTTTCCAGCCCCCTTGCCCACACCCCTGGCCTCCACCATTTGTAGTTTTATTTCTTTTGCATCAGTGACATTTTTGCAGGCATGAGATAGCAGAGCCCGGTAGTTTTTTGTTTTTTTTTTAATTTAGGTTGTTTATTTTTCATTTCAATGAACATCTACAGAGATTTTGGGATTCCATTCATTCATTGTTGCACCCTTCTCCCCGCACAAACCCCTCCCCCCCCCATTTGCTCCTCTCCTTGAAGCCCGATAGTTTTTAATTACAATGAGTTGGCTTTTGCCAGAAGAAGATTGCTAGGCTGGAGAATCTTGTTTTTATGGTAACAAAGGCGGTCTTCAAGGACCTCTTGTTGTAGACACCTGTGACTCCCACTGACACGGATCATGACTACGCAAACTGGGAATGCAGTCCTTTGTATGGTCCTGTGGGTGAGCTAGCGGTCAGAACCCACTGTTACTGCTTGGGTGTGCACCCTCAAAGGAGCTGTCTATCTCTCTCCTCTGTTGGCACGCATTGTGGTAGTGTTAGCGCTGTAAAATAAATGCCAAACTCACAGCAGCCTGTCTGTGAAGAGGAGAACAGTGCCCCATACGGGTTTCAAGGCTTTGGGTGCCCAACACCGTATCTTCCCGGACCCCTCTGGGTGGATTTGACAGTCCAGCCTTTCAGCTGGTAGTTGAGTACTTCACCAGTGGTGCCACCCAGGTTCTGCCCTGGTGCAGTAATTCCACTAGCGTGATCACCCACTCACTGCTGGGGCGGGGGGGGGGGGTTCTAACTTGTAACAAGCAATCCTGCCCCAGAGGATTTCCAAGCTCGGAAAGCCTTAT